GGAAGTAACCACCCCACACCGTAGTCAGCGTAATCATCACTACTGCCTAACAAGCATGGCAGCCACCTGAGCCCTCAACCAGAGGGCATAATCTGATTCATCATGCCACCACACCGTGCATTACCAGCATCCCATTTCACTGGTGAGGAGCTCAGACATGCATTCAAACCCAAACTAACCTACAAATCACATCTTGGAGGATTTGTCTCCTGGACTACCCAGTCAGGTCCAAGTTGGGGAAGAGAAAACACACCGGCTGTCTATACAGATAGAATTCAATTAAAAAAAATTTTTTACTCAAGTTTCTAGAATTAAAAAAATTTTTTTACTCAGGTTTCTACCCCCTTAGAAATGAGGGACCAAATGGAAGAGGTGGAATTATTAAACTTAAAAACTTATAGTATGGAGCTGAAACTCATACCTGAGGAAGAGAAGTGTCCAGTTGGCACTGATGCCTGAGGCGGGGGGGGGGGGATACAATGAAGCTAACTCTCGGAGCGTTGGTAAAGCTGCAAATTGGATGAGCTGCTGCAGGAAGGAACTGCCTCTGCTGAGGTGAAGGTGTTTGTGGACCCCCTTAGAAAAACTGCAAGCTGACAGGAAGTTTCCAGAAAGTTCCATGAATAAACAGGAAGGAGCAATCTCTTCTTTGTTATTCAGTCTTCCAGTCTCCCTCCAGCGCCCCCTAACAGGGGGCAGCTGGCAAAGATGAAATGTGCTTGCAGAATCTTGGCCCCAGCATCACTGAGCTTGGTATAAAAGGGTGGATTTGGAGATGAAAGGGTAAGAGCTTAATAATGGATACACGTGTCTACTAGTTAAAAAAAACAGCCAGCATGAAGGTTCTTAAAAGCCAGGCAGGGCGCCTGGGTGGCTCAGTTGGTTAAGCGACTGCCTTCGGCTCAGGTCATGATCCTGGAGTCCCAGGATCGAGTCCCACATCGGGCTCCCTGCTCAGCAGGGAGTCTGCTTCTCCCTCTGACCCTCTTCCCTCTCGTGCTCTCTCTCATTCTCTCTCAAATAAATAAATAAAATCTTTAAAAAAAAAAAGCCAGGCATAGGAGTTTCAACAATTTGATAAGCCAAGAAACAGCAAGAGACTGAAGGTTTTGGTGTTAGGGAAGTGGCACATTAAAAAAAAACAAAAACAAAGGGACATTGGTGATTTAGGACCTTCTTTTTCGATGTCACTTTTCTTTCTCTATAGTTAGGTTTCAGGTAAGTCTCCCACAGCCAGCACTCCCAGACTGTACCAACAGTAGAAAGAAAGTAGGGTAGAATCCATTCATAAGGGAAAGATTAATTAGTTTATATAGAACACCACAGAAAAGACAAATGGTAAATGTGTGTGGTAAATTTAAAACATACCTGCAGGGGCGCCTGGGTGGCTCAGTCAGTTATGTGTCTGACTCTTCCTTTCGGCTCAGGTCATGATCTCAGGGTCGTGAAATCAAGCCCCGTGTCAAGCCCTTGGAGTCAGGCTCCACGCTCAGCAGGGAGTCTGCTTGAGATTCTCTCTCCCTCTGCCCCTCCCCCCCACTTGTGAGCACACGATCCCCACCCCTCAAATAAAGAAATCCTTTAAAAAAATAAAACATACCTGCAACTTCTTTGCCATCCCAATCATCAAGAGGGCTCAAATTTCCCTCCCTTTGAATACAGATACACATTAGTGACTCACTTTTAATGAATAGGTGTTGGATTTTGATGTGACTTTTCCATGCTAACCATAAAACCTCAAAAAGGTAATACAGCTTTTACCTGACTCCCTCTCTTAGGGTGCTCATCTTTGGATCCCAGCCATTATGCTGTGAGAAAGTAGGGCCAGGACTAGGATGCAAAAGTGAGACACTCACCTTGAGTGAAAAATATAAGGGGTACCCAAATCTCTGTGATCAAGACAATGATACTGCAATACAATGTTTTTTTATTTTTTTAAAAATGTATTTATTTTAGAGAGAGTGCACACACAAGCAGGGAGAGGGGCAGGAGAGGGAGAGAATCTCAAGCAGGCTCCAACTCCCTGCAGAGCACAGAACCCAACGAAGGGCTCAATCTCACCACCCTGATAGCATGACCTGAGCAGAAATCCAGAGTTTGCCGCTTAACCGACTGAGCCACCCAGGCGCCCCAATACAATTGTTTTTTAAAACTTCATGTGAAAA